ATCGACGCAAACCCAAAAATTGAATATATATATTTAAATCGTTACGATGTGCACAAGTTGTATAAATTCGCATTTTATTTATGAAAAAGTTTTTGTAGTCGGGCTAATAGAGGTAACATAACATATATTTTTATCAAAAGAGATTTTGATGGTTTTTATTTATAAAAATACAGTCTTTTCAATACTACTAATGTTCTAATAAGGGGAAGGTGCATTTGAAATATTTACTTCGGACGGAGGCTTGTGGTATTAACGATACATACTTGCCAGCTTTTGACGCCCGGTGGCTTAGCGGTAGCGCTTCGCACTGTCGTGCCACAGGTCCCTGGTTCGGTCCTCGGGCTGGGCAAGGTTGACTCAGACTTTCATCCTTTCAGTGGGTCGATAAATGAGTGCCAAGCAAGCTTGGGAAGTAAACACTGGGTGTTCCGCGTTCGGCTGACTACCTGACCGGAACATCTGCTTCTGCACCCCAGAGCCCAAGGTCAAGAAAACTGAGATGGGCACAGTAGGCCTTGGCCCTCTAGGGCTGTCGCGCCGCTGGGTTTTTACTTTTTCCAGTTTTGGTGGAAGATTTTTCTTGAACATTTATATTAGCAGAGATGCCAACTGCTCTGGATTCGAAAAAATATTTTTTTAAAAAATGATAGGGAACTACAAATTAAATTTGCAACTTTTTGGTTAATTTTGTAAATTTTTAAAATGTTCAACAATGCTTAACTGTAGCAAATTGGCGTATCAGATACGCCTATGAATCATTTATTGGTGAGTAGAAACCCTATAAATCGAGAATTGACTGAGCCAAGAATCATACATTAAAAAACTACTACAGGAAAATATTTATCCAATATCTGGAGGAAGTAGGCATCTCTGTATTAGTAATTAGTAATGAGATTTATAGTTTACCCTTTTATCGAATTTCATTTGCATCGATATTAATTACCAACTTGTACGGCCTTTGAGAATAGTTTTTATAAGATCTATTTGTTGGTGAATTTTGCCTAGAGAAATCTTAATAGTTTTGATTTTAAAAAATAATTCATTGTTGTTTTATTACCGCTTTGTAAAATCTTTTCCAGCGACCGTACAATTTGGCAAGTATTCATATAAGAGATAAATTAGACCTGATAATCATATACAGTAATTTTTCTGTACGGGCAAAATCAAACAAGTTACGCGTACCCGTTTTAGTACCCCAATAACTTGAATAGTAAACTTACAAAATATTTGGGTATTATAGCTTAATCAAGATTTTTTTCAGTGTAGAAAAGTGTCACAAACTTAATTTTTACTAACTTTACTGCAGCCTTACACTAAAAAACAGCAATGCTTTTTTTCAATATCTCAATAATTTGAATAGTGGACTTTTAAATTACTTCGATATTGTAGCTTAATCAAGATTTTCAGAATAGAAAAGTGTCAAAAAATACATCACTGATTTTGCCACAGCATAAAACTGAAAAGCAACAATGTCATATTCCTTATCCCAATAATTTGAATAGTGAACTTTCAAATATTGAAGAATTGTTGCTTAATCAAGAATTTCTGTATAGAAAAGTGTCAAAAACTGCTTTTTTTACCAACTTTGCTGCAGCATTACACTGAAAGCAGCAATGTTCATATTGAGTATCCCAATAATTTGAATAATGAATTTTGAAATTATTAAGAGATTGTTGCTTAATCAAGATTTTAAGGGTAGAAAAATGTCAAAAACTGCATTTTTTACCAACTTTGCTACAACATACACTAAAGCAACAAACTGCCATAAAGCCATATTTAGTATCCCAATAATTTGAATAGTGAGCTTTCAAATTATTGAGGGATTGTTGCTTAATCAAGATTTTCAGGGTCGAGAGGTGTCAAAAACTGCAGTTTTTTCTAACTTTGATGCAGAACAGCACTGAAAAACAGCAATGCTCCTTTGCAACAATTGCGTATTGCCTAAGCGGCAGTTTACTAATAATATAATAAGAAAACTTGGGGAGTTCATGTTTTCGTTAAGTGAACCCAATTAAGGATACTCATATTTAATGTTTAAAGAAATGATCTTGATGAGCTTTAAACTTTTTTATATTTTATTTCCCAGCCGGCGATGAGCAGTCGACCCAATATTGAGTTTCCAACTATCAATGTTCTACAAGGTTGCTTTGTAATTTTGAACCTAACCCAGAAGACAAGAGGATTTTTGGATCAAACATTAGGACATTCTAGCCTTCGTATGACTTTTGGGGGGAACTATCCCACATTTGCGTTACACGGAGAGAAAAACAAGAAAGCTTCCCGCTTTTCTCGTCGGCAAGGGAACTCTAATGCATGATCACTGAGTATATTTTACTTCTGCAGAGAGCCGGGAGCAGAATTCGTATCAACCAGCCATCATTGGGATTCAAACTTAGGGCACTTCATAGAAAGACGAATGCTCTATCCTTTGTCTCTGAACCTTGAACATCGAAATTTTCCGTGGGGAAGAGAAAATTCTCTCAAACTTGCACAGTATTCATTACTCATAATCTACTTCCATAAAAAGAATCAGAGCAGTGATGGCTCAGGGGATAGAGTATTCGCCTTCCAATGAGGTGAACCAGATTCGAATCCCAGCAATGGCTGGTTGATACAAATTCCCCATCCGTCTTGCGCCGACCACTGTGCTGACGTAAAATATCCTCAGTGGTAGACGGATCATGGGTTAGAGTCCCCGTGCCGACAGGCTAACCGTGGGAGGCTCTCGTTGTCTTCAGCTTCATGTAACGCAAATGCGGGTTAGTTCAACGCCTCCTGTAACTGAAAGCCTCCACACGGTTTTTTATAGGTAGTCCAATTAGACCACTGTGAAGGATATCCACTTACCGAACGAGTCATTTAATACAGAATATAGTTAAAAAAAGAAAGTGGTAGCAAATATATGACTAAAACTTTATTTTATTTATGAATATTATTGGCTTGCCTTATTCACTTGTCAACCACTACAGATTCAATTCTCAAATATATAAGATAAATTTCTCTCAATTACTTTTATGAAAGGTTTTGGGTACATGCGCACAACTGGTTCGCTTTTTAAGCAGTCTGTGCAGACTACGTGTGAAAGACCGTGTGGAGGCTTCTTGATGTAGAAGGTGATGGTTAGTTCCATCAAGAACTCCTCCACGAAGGTAAATTTCACCCAATACCTACTGATCCAGGATTTCCCTTGTCTTCCGTATTGGGTTCAAAATTACAAGGCTACGTAGTTGAACATTAATAGTCGCAAACCCGAAAATTGGTTCGGCTCTTTAGCTGCAGTTATAAAATAAAAATAATAAATAAAAAGAAACCAGCAAATCAACTTAACCGGTTAACGCCCAGCGTCATATATTTAGGACAGTTCCTATTTTCAAAGACATTCATTGTGGTGGGAAACTTTTTTCAGAATTNCTCTCAATTACTTTTATGAAAGGTTTTGGGTACATGCACACAACTGGCTCGCTTTTTAAGCAGTCTGCGCGGACTACGTATGAAAGACCGTGTGGAGGCTTCTTGATGTAGGAGGTGATGGTTAGTTCCATCATGAACTCCTCCACGAAGGCAAATTTCACCCAATACCTGATCCAGGATTTATCTTGTCTTCTGCATTGGGTTCAAAATTACAAGGCTACGTAGTTGAACATTAATCGACGCAAACCCAAAAATTGACTCAGCTCTTTAGCTGCGGTTATAATATAAAAATAATAAATTAAAAAAAACCAGCAAATCAACTTAATAACACTTAAATATCAAGTTTTTCTAATTTATCATGGTGTTATTATTTCCAGTATTTAATAATTCTTTGCTGGTAAACAATGTTTCAAAAGATATGTTTGGAAAAGTAAATCACTAAGCAAAACACAAGTTTTTACAAAATATTTTATTTATGTACTATAACATCATTTGTATCTTCTTTTTTTAAATGTTAGGCTTATATATACTTAGTATCTATAGTTAATAGACTCCTCCATTTCGATTACGTTGAATACCTTGTTGAGAAGCTTGATTTCTTTGATTGTTGTTAAGATTTCCTCGACCATAGTTTGTATTGTAAGCATCTTGTCTATTATTTTGAGAAGTAGCTCCTCCTTGATTTGCTGTGAAATCATACAAAAACAAGTGAAAACTGACTGTTTCATATTATTTTTGATTATTATTCATTGTTTTAAGCTAAACTTGCACAAAAACATATTCATTTATCAAGAATTCCATTGCTTTTCTAAGAGAAATATTTAACTTACATCAACAGTCTCTTGATTTGGCTTGAAATAAACTAATGATTTGGTTTTTAACACGCGTGTATCATGTAAATATGTGAAATGCCTGGAATCTATTATTCAATGGATCGGAAAATATATACGATCATAGCTGTAATTTCGATAAAATTAGTAGTTTGCTTAATATAAAAAAAAAATTAACCCCAACTTTTAACATCATAATTTATAAAAAGAGAGAAAATGTAGGGTTTTTATACCTATATAAAATCAGGTGCCGCTAAAAATAATCTCATGCCATTTATTAATGCATATTGAAAATTAACACCTAACATACATTACAAAATTTGTATTTTCTTTACATATAAAATAATAAAATTAAATGCTAACTTCCAACATCATTATTTATAAAGTGTGAGAAAATGTAGGATTTTTTTTCACTTATATAACAACTATTATAACCACTATATAACTGGCTACTATTATTTCACTACTGCTAAAACATATCTGATTTGATTCACCTGCAATTTTATGTGTACTAAGTTTAATCATGAAATTTGATAATTGCATTACTTTCAAAAAATTTCGATTAGCTGTACAACCACAATAATAATGTAATAACATAGCAATTGAAATTTACTCAATTTTCATGTTTCTCTTGAACTCTGTTACAATTACTGAGGTGTCATAACAGAATATCAAATTTATCAAAAAAAAATTATAAAATAAATGTAACATTAAATAAACATACCTTGATTTACAGGTCTTCCTAAAAGAAATATCTTAATGTATTAAATATTACAAAACAATGAGTTTTTCCAAATTTATCAAATACATGTACCCTAAAATTCTTTTTGACTTATTGTAACTTTCATATTTTTGAGAAAGATTATGATTTAATCATCAACTCTAAATTTGCCTCTCAATTAGTAATATATTATAAAGTTACTAACCTCCGTAACCACCTCGACCACGGCCACCTCTTGCTGTAAAATAAAAAGTAAGCTTTTATTAGGCAGCCTTATTCAAAATTAAAAACAGGTTTTCAAATGTCATTTTTTTTATAAACTATTCAATAAGTGCTTTAAAGAAATGTCTGCATTGTTTTGTTGCATTAATCTCTAATTAATATTTTCAATCCATTTATACGAACAGTTGTATTTAAAAAAAATTTAAATTTAATAAAACAGTTATGGGTAGAGCTTTTCTTGAAGTGTTAAAATATTTGTTTCTCCGAAAATATGTTAGCAATATAATTCCCATTGCTATTTATTTTTCTTTTCTGTCTGGAGTTGAGTAATGGCATTTTAAAAGCAAAATTGGTAGCCAATAGTAGAAATTACCCACTTATTTCAAACAAACAAATGACATGCCTTTTCTTCATAAATATTACCAATCACTGCAATATATAATATCAGTCGTTAATAAATTTACGATTTTAATTCTTATTTGCATAACACCATAGCTTAATGGATATTTTACAATCTCCTTGAGTTTCAGTCCTAATCGAGACATTTGACAAAACATACATTTTGACAAAACTCCTTTCAGAAAAATTCATGACAGAAAACGTATAGTTCTCGATGTCAAATAATAATAAACAAATTTCAATTGCTGTAAATCAATTATTAAATTTTTTAACCTACATCAAAGCTTTTATTTATATATTTAAATTAAATGAGCTGCTAACTTACTGAAAATATAGAAATGTTTAAGGTTCTTAATAAAAATGCATTGTTTATAAAATTCAAATGAAAAATAAGCAATATAGAATTAAAATTCGCTCTTAAAAACATTATCAGGCTTCGCATGCGCCTGGAAAAAATATAAACACGTAACAATTTTTTAAAAGAAACCGAGAATTTCTCAGTTTTAGTTTTCCTTTTCAAAAATTTAAAATTCGAAATCCTAAATACTTCGGATCTATGGATGCGTCGCTTGGAGATAGTAAAAATGGAGATGTGCTCAAATCCCTAAGCTACAGGTACAATTTAAGGAAGATGTTGAAATGCCGTATGTGTGGGGTCATTCTTGTAAAAAAAGTAAGCGATTGGAAAAAATCCCTTAACTCTTTAAGTGGAAATATTAAATTGTGTTATTTAGATGTCACGGTCATTGTAACATTAATATTACGGTCAATCGATTATTAATAATTTTCGGTAATACTAATAAGAGTCGGTTAAAGTTTGTGCGAATTTATATCGGACAGTGACTCATAAGCATAAAAAAATCTATGTATTGCATATCAGTAGGTCATATGTGCACTGGGAAGTGGTATTTAACCTCAAAATACATCATTAGTGTAAGGCAAACTTGTGAAGGGCACTCATTTCCTTTGATTTATTCGATTATTAAAAATAATATTGGCTATTATTTATTTATTTTGATGGTAGGCACTGAACTCTTGTCTTTCACATCTGGAGATGACAGAAGAGCTGCTCTTTAACGTTCCCCGGAGGGCACCTGTGAACCCAAGTCACGAAGGCGAGCAACATTACCCATTCCACACTTACACATATACCCGTTCATAAAGTGGACCACTTTCACACACCACACAACAGAGAACAACACACAGAGAGAAACATACATGCCCTGAGCAAGATTGTAACCCTCAACCTAAGGCTCCTATACTATCAGAGCTGACCTATCAAGCAATATTGGAGCAAACAAGTTCGCAAGTTAACGTAATGTTAGTTATGTTATTACAGAGATGCCAACTGCACCGGACACGCCAAAATAATTCAAAAAACGGTAAATACCTACAAAGTAAATTTTGCAAATAGTTGACAATATTTGCCTGCTTTTAAAAATGTAAAGCATGTAATAAGTACTACAAGTGGTGAATTATATAAGCCTGCGCATTGTTTAGAAATAGTGGTGGATTAAAATCTACTAAATCGAACTTATTAAACCAAGAATTACAATTAATAAACTACCACTTGAAAATATTTATTCGCTGTGCTTATGTTAGCTCTTTGCGCCAACAATAAATGTTAAGTCGGCCTGTCTAATTCAGGGGCTCTACCTCAACCATTGGTTTCGCTGCCAGGCCAACGCCTCCTATAACTGAAAGCCTCCCCTCGGTTTTTTATAGGCAATCCAATCAGACCACTGTGAAGGTAAATCAGTTTACGAAGGAGCCATTTAATCGAAAATCTACTAAAAATTAGAAAGTAGTAGCAAATATGTGTCTAAAAACCTGTTTAATTTATGAATATGATTGGTTTGTCTTATTTACTTGCCAACCACTACAGATTCAATTCTCAAATATGTATGACAAATTTCTCTCAATTACTTTTAAAATAGAATATGGGTTTATGCGCACAAATGGTTCGCTTTTTAAATAATCTACGAAAATTCCGTGTGGAGGCCTTCTGATGTAAGAGGTCACGCTGACCGCTCGGTTATCTGGCCGGTGCAGACTATTATTAAATGCAGCATTCTTTAATAAGTCATAAATTTGATTTTCAGAACGTAATCAGGTTTCACTTGTACCAGGAAAAAGTATGAGCTGTTATCAAGATAATTATAAAGATAATTTCTCAGTATTAGTTTTACCTTTAAAATATTTTAAATTTAAAATTCGAAAGCCTAATACTTTAGACCTATGGATATTTCGCAGGGAGATATGATAAGAAATGCAGATGCGATCAAACCCCTGAACTAGATTATCAATTCATGAGAGATGTTAAAATTGAAACTTAATGAGGTGATTTACCCAAGAAAAGTAAGTTATTTGATCAAATCTCTCAACTATTTTAGCGAAAAGATAAAGTAATATTGTTTATATGTAATGGTCAAAGTAGTTGGCCACTTATAATATTCGCCTATTATTATTAGGTATAACCAAGTGAGTCGGTTAAGGTTGCATAAATTTATATCGCCCAGTGTCACATAACATTAAAAAAATGTTAGTGTAGGATATATCGAGAGAAAATGTATACCAGGAAGTGGCACTAAACCTTAAAAAACAAAAGTGTCGAGTTTGCAGTGTATCCACTTTCTAGAAAAAGAAGTATGGTCGGTTAAAGTATGTATAAATTTGCATCAGACTATGGCGCATAATATTGAAAAAAAAGGCCAATGAAGAATATTTTGTGCAAATATACCCCGTGCAGTGGCATTAGCCTTAAAAAACATCTGTGTAAGGTATATCGGGCAAATGTGTACCAGGCAGTGACTATTAATCTTTAAAAAAAACAACAGTTTGGTAAACCGGGCAAAAAATATTAAACAGTGATTATTATCCATACATATTTATTTTCCTTTAACGAAACAGAGCGGTGAAGTAAAAGTTTGGCTGCATATTTCTACTCCTTTTGCGTAAAGTTATATTTCAAGCTTAAAGTAAAATGTATACTTGTGGTAAAATGTATGCTTTCCATTTATTTGTTGGATTTAGAATTTTTTTTAAAGAGGTTTTGGTCACCACTGCATATAAATACTTACTAAAAAAGTATTTCTAACATATGAACGAACTAAAAAATATATTTCTATATATGACTGTAGCTCAGTTTTAATTTTACTTCTACATGGGAATATTATCCTCGAAAAAATGCAAAAGCTGGCAGGTATGGATAAAAAGGTGCTGCAACAAGAGAAAAATATTTGAGTCCAAAGTTGTTTATTTCATCTTTTCAATAAACAATTAAAATATTTGATCAAGTCACTTATTTTCTTTAGGGAAATTACCCCACAAAATTGGTATTTTAACAGTTTTCGTGAATTGTTCATATTGTTTAGGGATTTGATCAAATCTCTGTTTTTCTAATCTCGGCAACAGTTATTTCTACGTAAAGATTTTAAACAAATTGACTGTCTCAAACAAAAAAATAATAATAAATAAATGATGAATTAGATGTGTAAATAAATAAAATACGATTTTTCATTTTAACATTACTACTGATTTTTAAGATTTTCAATACGCATATAAATCTTGGTAACATACAAAATCTTAGCTATTCAAGAATGCTTTCTAGATAAAACGTGCTACTCATTTTTATCAAACTATCACGAAAACGGGCTACAAATAATTCTGCTTTCGAGATAAAATGCTACTCGTTTTAATTAAAATATCATGAAAATGGTCTTAAAATAATTCCGTTTTCAAGATAAATGCTACTTGCTTTCATTAAAATATCATGAAAATGGGCTAAAAATAATTTGATCAAGTGTTACAACCTGGAAAAGTTTAGATGAAATTAAGCAACATTTCAGCTAATTTAAAAAATGAAAATTAAATAAATTATTTGAAAAAATTTCCAAATTTAGTGTCAGCTTTAAAAATTCTGAACAATTTTGAAAATTCGAAGCGATTTCTGTATTCAGGATCTCAAAAATATAGTATTCCTTTTAATTGAAAGTATTATTAAAAAAATGTAAAAAAAGCAAATAATTTTAAAAATATATCCCTTACCAGGACCATTATAGTTATTATATTGTGCTGTAAAGGAAAAAAAGTATGTTATTTAAAAGCAACTAAATATTATTTACAAATTTATTTATATTCAGAATACATTTTTTCACACCATAAAAATTCATTGAATGCATAAAATTTAAACCTAAGTAAACAGTAAATTAAGTAAGTCAAGCAATGTAATTTTAAATTGCATAGTATTATATTATAAGTCATTTTAAATTACTTACACAGAGTTTCTTGATAAAATTATTTAGTATTTTGAATAAAAATAATATTTGAAAACAAAGAAAAACAATTGTGGGTATTTTTTTTAAATAGAGATTTCATAGATCGCATTCAAATCCTAGTAAATAATAAATTAAAAAACTGCTTCATTTCAAATGAAATTAAAATATTTTTAAAATAAACGTTTTTGAATTTGTTAGCACTTCATCTTGCCTTCTGAATATTCAATATGAACAGCGAAAATAAATGCTACCAGGCAACATTTCATGCTGGCGTTCATTTTTATAATGTAAGTTAAATGCTTCAACACGTTCACGCCGGGAAAAGTGAAAATACTGGTACGGGAAAATAGAAAATACTGGTAGACGAACTATTTCAGTATTAGATAACATTTGGGAAGAGTTAATCTATTCTCAACAATAACAATTCACTCTAAGGAAATTTATCACGGCGAAGAAGCAATTCATTATAAAAATTGCATCCGTTTAAAAACAATTGGTAGTTATGGATTTTTATTATTCCCGTAAAAAAACTAAAAGATGAAATTTATTGTTACCAGTTTTTACTCCGGTGCGCTGCCAAGATGAGACAATCTAGCGTGACCCACCGGTGGGTCTCCCCGGCGTGAACGTGTTAATTAGCAGTTAGTTGAGAAACATGTGTTAAAATTCAAAATCTGGTTTCTGCGCGAGAATCTTGAATACCATTCTACTGTTACAAAAACATGAATTACTTCTTTACAAATTTAAGCTCTTCGTATTGATTATTTATTTTCTTGAAATTGAAGGTATTTGTAATAAAACATGTTGGCATTATGTAAAATAAAAAAATATGAACTTATTAACTTTTTATCATACATTCTGAATATGCAGTGAGAATAGCTACAACAAATACTATCTTTCAAATTTTCATGAAGTTGTTCATTTTTATAATGTAAGTTAAATGTTTTAATTAGCAGTTAGTTGAAGAATATGTGTTAAAATTCCCAAATCTCGTTTCTACGTGAAAAGCATTTTTACCTTTCTGCTATATAACAAAAACATGAATTATTTTTTTACAAATTTTAAACTTCTCGTATCGATTATTTATTTTCTTGAAGTTAAATGTATTTGTAATAAAAATGTGGGCATTTTGTAAAATAAAGGAGTTTGAATTTATTAACTTTTTATCTTACCTTCTGAACATACTGTGAGAACAGCGACAACAAATGCTATCAAGCAAATTTTCTTGAAGGTGTTCATTTTTAAAATGTAGGTCAGATGCTTTAAATCTGTTAGTTAGAGAAGATTATTTAAATTTTAAATCAGGTTTCTACTCGAGAACTTTTATACCATTCTGCTTTCATAAACAACAAGAATAAACTCTTTTGAAATTTAAAATTCCATATCAATTACTGTTTTACGTGAAGTTAGACGTATTTACAATGGAACATATGTCGATTATGTCAATTGAATTTAATACCCTTAACGTTGGTTAAACCTATAAAATCATATTGTGGCGAAAGGATTTAATATTGGGAAATGTATTTTAACTTGTCATATATAATTTTAGCTAAAAGAGAAGCAGTAAAAATGCATTTTCGAGCACTCGCTTTGGTAAATTTCAGAAATAGATACCTGATAGTTTTAATTTTAGTTTCGAAATATAATTAAAATGAATAACTATTAAGGTATGTCGAAACTCTTCATACGTAATTTTCCAATTTATTACAGATGTATTAGCAATTTATTTTCATTTTATAAATCAAAAATCTTTGCAGTCTAGGAAAAAGAAAGTTAAAATATATTTTTATCACAAAGTGTTTTGATACTTTATATAACTTTAAAAAGAAGTCTTTTTCAGACTACAACAGTCTATCAAGGATAAATAACAATTTAAATTTACTTCGGGGTGAAAACTACTGTATAAATACAAGTGAGAATTTCCCTTCTGAATTTAAGGTAAAATAACCGTCAACAGTCTGTTTATCCGATTTACCAAAAAAATTTAATTATAGTTGGGTACATTTCTTTACCTTTACGGTTTAAAAACCATTTACAACTCGTAAAATTAATATTCCATGAATAAATAACTATACGATTTTTAACCATTTGAAACTAAAGAAGTTTCTGAACCATAAAAATAAAACTTAAGCGGACATTGGAGTTCTTTGGGTCCTGCGCCATTTATGCGTGAATGATAGTTTTGTATTCTGAAAGAGGATCACTGATTGATGAGAGCATTACAATAGAAACTTTTCATATATTGAAGGAATGGAAGAAATATTGTGGTATCATCGCTGAGATTAAAACTCCTGTTCCTCATTAGATTGGCCGACTAACCCTCACAGCTACATATGTACCCAAGTGCACTTAACAAATACGTGGGCCTAGTTGGCACAAGATACTGATTCTTAAACCGTGTTCAGTAAACAATCATAACAGTTAATAAACGTTTTTTCTCACACTTAGCAGTTTGAATATAATCTTTTTTTATGGTTATGTGATTGCTTTAGTTTAATATAGTGCAAACACAATTAAATAATTTGCTATTTAACCATATTTTCCGAGGAACTTCTAACACTGTGGTAGTTTATCTTCGGGGTGTTCAACCCTTAAAAAACTAGCCCTTATAAAAAAAGCACTGGTCATCAAATCCCGAATAAAAAAACCTTCTAAAAGTGAAACACAGTTTATACACTAATAAATTCTTATTTTGGATAATGAAGCGCCAAGCAAGGTAGTAAGTTATAAATAGCTACCTTGGCTCAATTAATGCTGACGAACGCTTGCTTTGTAATAATTTTATAGTTAGCAACAGAATATATTAGTAGCAAAAAGAAAGTACCGTTAACTTAAACCAAAATAATTTTATTTCCTATTTTTTATTAGTTAATTACGTTCATATACGAATTAACAATTAAATTTTTCATGTTGTTGTTGTCTTATACCATTTATCAATACAGACAAGCCTATTTTAGGGCAGAGGATGCGCTTCTTCGTGATTTCCAGTGGAGCCATCTATGGTTCAGAATTCGACTTTTGCTACGCACATCCGTCAATCTCGTTTAACCCAAAGGACACAATCACACACCATCCATTCACCCTCAATAGTAATTTATTAATTGACCTTAACTAAAGAACGAGCAATCTTCAATCCATTACCCCCAGAGATAATGATTGTTATGGGAACTTGGAAGACTTTGTATCTCCAACAGATTTAGCAAGCACTAGTCATTATTTTGTACACTGGAAGTCTTCGGCTGGCGAGGATCGAACTCACTCCCACTAGGACACGGAGCCAACGTCCTACCAACCAGACTATGCCGGCACTCAATCTTTCATGAATAAGTAAATAAGATGTATAATAAAAGCAGGCATAGAAAGTGCTTAAAGTAATAGAATGAAGTATTTAGAATTTTAAAAAAAATGAATACATAAAATATTTTAAAATGTTGACTTTAAAATGTTATGGCAGCAGGCATTGTGTGATCTTTATTTATAACTATTATTACTCAAGTAAAAAAATATTGTTAAGTAAATATAAGGTTAACTTCGTACTACACGTATATATAAAAGCAAACAAGATGAAAATAATGCCACCTGAATAGACGTGCCATAGTTTCTGTTCTGAAATTAAAAAAGTCCTATGTTGTCGAAACATAATGTCCCTGTGTTTATGACATTATTTTTGTTCCTTTCTCGTTGTTCAACTTTTGATTATTCATTATGCTCTGATGTTTATTGTTTTGAAAATATGAATTTTCACTAAAATGCAAATAGCAAGCAACTATTTATTCAAGGAATTAATAAATGAAATAAATTAGTTATAGTTAAGTTAAAATTATTATTAAACAGTAGATATTTTTGAAAAGATATATTTTTTATTGGTAATAAGCAAATAACCATGGGAATGAATGGAACCCTGCGCGACAGAAGAACATGCGAAAAAGCAGCAACCTAGACCACTGCAGCATTAATACGAAAGGAAAGGAACCATTAAGTTAGGAAAGAGCTGCGATGGCTCAGAGGATAGAGCGTTCACCTTACTATGAGTCGAACCGGGTTCGAATCCCAGTCGATACGAATTCCGCATCCAGCTTGCACTAACAGCAGCGCAGACGTGAAATAGCCTCAGTAGTAGACAGATCATGAGTTAGAGTCTTCTTGCAGACAGGCTAACCGTGGGAGGTTCTCGATGTTTTCCTCTTTAAGTAACGCAAATGAGAGTTAGTTCCATTAATAAGTCTGCCACGAGGGCAAATTTTTCCGATTACTTGATCAAGGAGTTCCCTTGTCTTCTGTATTGGGTTCAAAATTACGAGGCTATGGAGCTGAACATTAGTAGTCGTAAACCCAAAAAATTAGGTCGGCTGTTCAACGACGGTTATAATAAAATGGCAGCGTTTCGACACTACATTTACCCCCACTCCATTTACTATTGGAAATGCATATCTTCATTACTCGTGGCTCATGCGAAACATCATTCTAGTAGTTGAAAAAATTTTAAAATAGGCAGAAAATTTTAAAAAACTTTATTTAAGTTTAAGAACAAGATTATTTGTCTATCCAAATTTTTATTCATGTGGTTTAACTGTCTTCCAGCTGGACTCTTATTTTGCACCAATGGAAAAAGTGCCTTTATGATCAGATTTACATGAAAATTAAATGGAAATTTCGTTCAACTACCTACCACGCTTGTAAAAAAATGCCACACAGATTTTATTTCAGCAAAGTTACAACATATATCATTTTGCATAATTAATAGATTATGGATGATAGGAATATTCTGCTTTTTCAATTGTATCAGAATAAACTTGTGTAAGAATAAACCATTTGAGTAAGCAGCCTTTAACGTTTTGAAAAAGTGACGTGTTCCGAAAATGGAACGTTGGCATTCAAACGGCTCATTATAACGGCATATTATAACGGCATAAACGGCTTTACCTAATTTATTAGAAAAAAAAACTTTTCCACCATGAAGAAATAAAAATAAAAAAAATTCTGAAACTACCGAAAATCCTCATTAGTTAGGGGTTCGAAAAGGGTTAAAACTTTCAAATATCCACATAACTTTTTAAAATCTATAGCAATGCGGTCAGAATCTTAGCAGTTCAATCAGGGCGCAAAGACGGAAAAGACAAACTAACTAGTAGTAGAATCGTTTCATTAAAAGCTGAACTTCATGAGATTAAAAATAAGCTTTTACTATCCTTAACTATTAAGTTTACCAAAAAAATTCTGCTCACGAAATTACACAAAAAGTCAAAATGTTAGGGCATTTACCATTTTACCCTTTATTGTATATTTCAAATATAACGCTTAGTTTTGAAGGACGCTTTCTTTACAAGTTTTAACCCGTTTTCTACCGAATTTATATATTGAGATGATACAAAAAGCGGTTTTATGGAAAAAGTGGTATAATATATTTTCCAAATTAATTGTTTTTTCGACTGTTAGGGCATTCAAAAAGTCTTTGATAGATCTGAAAGTACTTGATTGATTGATTGATATGATTGATATGAGTGGAATCTCGGTGTTAAGCGCGAAGCGCTTCTAACCGATTCATCTATACTGTTTTGGCATTTAGTCCAGAGGTCATATACAGTTCAAAGTTCTAAGTTAGGATCAGATAATAAGTCCATGATGAGGTGAGGCATGAGTTGATTCAGTAGTACATCAGTTGTATGGGGAATTCCCCTGGATTAAAGTTGTGAGAAGATGCAGTACGTCTTGGTCCTTCAGCAAGTCTTTAAGTTCACTGATGAGGCTAACAAGTCTGTGGGCTGTAGAAGTAGGCGTGTCCTTGGTCGTGAAAGTACTTGCTCCTTATAATTCTAGATCTAATCAGAAATAACTAAATCATTGTGGTATCAGAGAATCTTTTAATTCACCCAGATAAATGAAAATGCTAGAAAAAGTTTCCCACTACAATTAATGTTTTTGAAAAAAGGAACTGTCCTAAATATATGACGCTGGGCGTTAACCGGTTAATATGCTTCCGCCAAACGTGATGTATATATTTATGCTTGAGTATTATTATTGAGTTAAGGGATAAATATCCAGCCTTTTTTTTTTTTCTTTTTTTCTTAGATGGAGTCTCGC